ACGGGAGGTCAGCCAGCCGGGACTCAGAGGCAAAAGCTGCTGGGAACAGGGGACAGGAAAGGGGGAAGGGAACGGGAACTGACCTGTGTTGAAGACCTACTGTGCACCAAGCACTGTGCTGGGCCTGTTACCTGTACCCTCTCATTGGATCCTCATGGCAAAGCTATGTAGAAGGATGATGAATCCCTTTTTGCATACGTGGGAAACGGAGGCTCAGAGAGGTAAAGCCACTTGCCCAGGGTTGCACAGCCGAGTGGCAGATCTGGGCCTGAATCCGCGTCTGATTGCAAAGCATGTTTCCTCCCCAGAGCTTTTGTAACTGGGCCAGCTGGGGGGCTGCTCTGGCGGGAGAGGCCAGCAGGTGGGACGTGGTTCAGGAAGCAGGCAGGTGTAATTCACAGGGCGGGAGGCGCCCTGCAGCTCATAGCAAAAGGAGCGCTTGACTTTTTTTTTTTCGTGGGAGAGTCCGAGGTAAGCGTGCAAGGCCAGAGGGTGGCTCTGCTCCACCCGGTCATTCAGGCTCCATCTCCACAGTCTTGTCACCATCGGAGAGGTCGAAGCCACCGCCATGTTCATGTTCCATGAGGGATTAGAGAAAAGCGTGCAGAGGATGCATCCCTGCTGCTCTCAGCGCCCCGGACACATCCCTTCCACTCACTTTCCCCTGACCAGGCTCCGTCACGTGACCTCCCCACCGTGAGAAGGGCTGGGAAAGGCAGCTCCCTGCTAGGTGGCCGGGGCCCTGTGGTGACTCATCATTGTAGAGAAAGCGGGGAGCCATCCGCTGGCCAGCTGACAGTCTCTGCCCAGTCGCCTCCTGCAGTGCCAGGCCTCAGGACCTCACCTGCAACCTGACCCCCATCAGAGGGCCGCCCTGACCTCCCGCTGCTCCTTTAAACTGCATCTGGCTCTATTTTCCCCTGTCCCTTGATGAAAGCGGACTGTCCCACGATTTTTCTCATCTATACTCAAGGCACTTCAGGTGGCAAACAGCCTCAGTGAAAAATCCTCGGGCCCTGGCCGGTGGCTCAGTGGTTGGAGCATCCACCGGAGCACTGAAGGGTTTGGGGTTTGGTTCCCGGTCAAGAGCGCATACCTGGGTTGCAGGCTCGATGCCCAGCTCCAGTTGGGGCGTGTGCAGGAGGCAATGAATCCATGTGTCTTTCTCCTATCAATGTTTCTCTCTCTCTTTCTCTCTCTCTCTCCCCCCTCCCTCCCTCCCTTACACTCTCTCTAAAAATCAATGGGGAAAATATCCTCAGGCGAGGATTAACAACAACAAAACATCCTCAGCGCATGATGGACATCTCAGTCTTCATTCAGAGGATTTTCCCTTCCTCCTCGGGCTGAGGTCTTCTGTGCACAAAAAGCTGGGGGCAGCCGGGATGTTTGTCCCTGCCTGGTGCTATGGGACTGACAGACGGTCCATGCCCGCAGCGTGGTGGATGTTTAACAAGGGCACTGAAGTCTCAGGGGTAATACTGTAGATGTTTCAGAGGCCGTGTAGTAAGTGCCAGCCATAATTATTTCTGTGCCAGTGAGGGTCCCTGCGGGCCGCCTGGGGTGGCCACACACCCCATGTGGCCCCACCTGGCAGCATCAGCTCTGCTGTGTGCCTCTTATGAGCCAGCCCTGGGTACATCGCTTCTCTGCACCTCCGCACAGAAGTGAATCAGGGGCAGTCCCTGCCCCACAAAGAACCAAGCAGCCCATTCGCAGGTAACTGCAATGCAGTCTGTTACATGCTGTGACGGGGGCTGTGGAAGCTCAGAAGAGGGGCCCCTTGCCTGGGCGAGGTTCCGACTGACCTCTTTCTGGGGGAGATGAGGTTGGTGTGACTCTAACAGCTT